AAGACTTACATCACGATGTCTTTTTCTTCGTTATTCTGATTTTGGTTTTCGTATCATGGATCTTGGGTCGCGCTTTATGGCATTTCCACTATAAAAAAAATCCAATCCCGCAAAGGATTGTTCATGGAACTACTATCGAGATTCTTCGGACCATATTTCCTAGTATCATCCCTATGTTCATTGCTATACCATCATTTGCTCTGTTATACTCAATGGACGAGGTAGTAGTAGATCCAGCCATTACTATAAAAGCTATTGGACATCAATGGTATCGGAGTGCGCCTCTTCACGAGGGTGATTAAAGTGCAACGAAATGCCTTAAAGATGAATAGGGTTCGCGAAGCATCTAGCTTACCGGTAATCTCCCATTCCCACCGTCGAGAGACTTTAATAACTATAGCATGCCAGAAACGGGGAGTTGGGGTGGTTAGACCTATACCCCGAAATGCTCCCAGCATAGGAGCCTATGGTTCCATTCTTGTTGTTGCTGGAGGTACACATCCCTCTTCTCGGTGTGGAACGATATACGAGAAATAGATGCTCAGCCTGCAATGTCCGATAACGACGCTGAAGTAGTGAATCTATCGGCACCATAGCAGTGGTATACAACTTTGGACCTAACGGCCGGCCTAGTAACCTTTCGGAATGGGGGATCCCCGTTGGCAACAACCACGGTAGTAGTTGCGGAACTACTTGGCCGGGAGAGGAGCGGAAAGCCACTTGACTGTAAGGAGAGGACAACCTCTTGTTCCTGCTCCTCTTTCTTCGCTTCGGGGACGGAGGTCCTACGGTAGGTAACAGCAGGCACAAGCAAGTTGACCGAAGGGGACCAACGCTTCTACTCCTCCACCGAGGAGCCGTTCTTGCGAGAAGCAAGGGATGTCGTGAACGGTGGGAGGTCACAGAGAATTGACCTATTCATAGAGTGATCCTATAATCGATACTGGATATAGACTATCTCATTCTTTATTCTATTCTATTTCTGAAAAAAAAAAGAAGGGTGACTCAACTTCTCAGCTAGAGTTGGTGGTGGGACCTGTTGGCATAATGCACGCTGGAACGTGGGAATTCGAGGTCTCATGAACTACTACTAAAAACCAACCTTGTTTTTGTTTTGTTTGTGGACAAACGATATCCAGTTAGGCCTATGGCTGGATCCTTTTAGATCTACGGGCCGGCTGGCCCCGGCCATTTTCATGAGCATAGGGAATCTATACTCGAGCGTTCCACTGGGCCCCTGACAGGATAGGTGAGGAATCACTCTGGATCTTCTTTTTTTGGGCTACAACTTCGCCGAGCCGACTAGCATCCCTTTCCACTGTGCATTTTTCGAACAAAGAAGACGACTATAGGATCGAATTCGCTCTTTAAGAAACTGCTCGTCCCATACCTTCTGCCTGTCTCATATGTGTGGAACCTGGTCTTTTTCGGTTCCAGCCTCTCCCTCGAATACATAGGGTAGGTAGGGCTGGGTGAGAAATGGTTCCCTCTTACCAATAAACTTTCCCTGGCCTTCGATTAACCTTACTCATAAAGGGTCTTACGGTCGGGAGAACTACCTAACTAAAGAAAAATAGTGTTCTTTCTAAGAGTAGGCGTGGAGAGCTTTTTGCGGGGAAACTTGCAAGTACAGTTTGGGGGGAGGCGGGCGTCGACCCTACCTTATGAGTATTCGGACTATAACAGTTCCGATGAACAGTCACTCACTTTTGACAGTTATACGATTCCAGAAGATGATCTAGAATTGGGTCAATCACGTTTATTAGAAGTCGACAATAGAGTGGTTCTACCAGCAAAGAGCCCTATACGTTTTATTGTAACATCTGCTGATGTACCTCATAGTTGGGCTGTACCTTCCTTAGGTGTCAAATGTGATGCTGTACCGGGTCGTTTAAATCAGACCTCTATTTCGGTACAACGAGAAGGAGTTTACTATGGTCAGTGCAGTGAGATTTGTGGAACTAATCATGCCTTTATGCCTATCGTCGTAGAAGCTGTTCCTACGAAAGATTATGGCTCTCGGGTATCCAATCAATTAATCCCACAAAGCCCCAACAAAGAGCCAGTACTTGTCCCCTCTCCCTCTGATGACCAAACGCAATCGTCTTCGCGGGCTTCCGCGCTTGCAGATTGGGGAACTTCTCGAACGCAATCGTCTTCGTGGGCTGCCGCGCTTGCAGATTGGGGAACTTCTCGCTCGAAATCGGAATCGAGTATGAACGAAGCCCAACAAAATGCCCCCACAGCAGTAGCGGTTGGTGTTGGGGCGGAGATCCAACCATTCCCATTGTTACAGGATTCCCTAAGGCGTCAGGAGCTAGATAGCCGGCTGTCGTTCCACTTGCACTTGATCGGAAAAAACA